TTAGAAATGTGAATAAGGTAGAGAGGATTAGCATGCTCCAAATAATGAGGAATAAGACAGACAAGATTATCCTCATATATAAGATACAAAAATGTGGTCTATCAAGAAATCAGTCAAACATGGTGTGAGATCCCACATCGGTTGGAGAGGGAAACGAAGCATTCCTTATAAGGGTGTCGAAATCTCTCCCTAGTAGGTGTGTTTTAAAACCTTGAGGGGAAGCCCAGAAAGGAAAGCTCGAGATCCCACATCGGTTGGAGAGGGAAACGAAGCATTCCTTGTAAGGGTGTCGAAATCTCTCCCTAGTAGGTGTGTTTTAAAACCTTGAGAGGAAGCCTAGAAAGGAAAGCTCGAGGACAATATCTGCTAGCGGTGGGCTTGGGTGGAAACACATGGTCTATCTAGGAACGTGCAACAGATGGGAACTTAAAAGCTCTTGTGTGCATTTGGAAGTGCCATGCAAACCAAAGCACACGCTCATAAACACTAATAAAAGTATACAGACTAAATAGAATATGAAACTACAAACATTATTACTCTAAGGAAAACACAGCCAATACGTTCAAATAATCTAAGAAAAGCAGAACATACCAACAGAGACATCACAGGTAAAGTCGCCTCCAGCAGGAATCTTACAAGAGTTTCTGTTGATACAACGATGGACCAAGTAGTGAGCACTTTACAAAACTCTAAATTTTAAAACTAGATACATGAATCATAAACATTAGAACACGCAGCAATAATTGAACAGGCAAACACCATACAGAATCAAACCAATACTTAGAAGAGACTTCGAATTACTAACCAAAAAAGTAGAAGTTCTTAATCCGAGTTATTGAACCAACAGCCCATATCCTTAGATCATTCTCCAAATCCTGCCTCGAACGCCCACTGTTAATGTCCAAGCACAGTTTCAACAGAAATGTCTCGGCAATTACAACTCCAGCCAAGCGTCGAATATCACATACGCCTGAACTAAACTCTCCACGAACCTCACTGCTCACGAGCGGTAAGAACTGATCCAATCCCTCATTTGAGTTCGTCCAAATACTAATTAAATCCACAAAAGGAGTAACCAAATTGAAGTCAAGAGATTCACCATTCTGGTCCGAATCCTTGCATGAACTCAAATTTATAAACCCAAGAATCGTTTCAACTAAAGATTTAACCTCTCTCATCGCCTTCTTTTCCCTCTTCGAGAACAAATCCTTTCCAAGCATGTCACTAATCAATTTATACACCTCGTAAACCACTGGTGCGAGCAACGCAATGGTCTTCGAAGAACCACAAGGAGCCGAACAAGAACACGTCGTCTGAAACAAGATTTTCATGGTTGCTACTCGGTCCAAGAAGTCGCCATTCATAGTGGAGATGCGGCTACGAAACGTTAATGCGGAGTAGAACCAGATCGATTCCAATGGTGGATCAGCTCTAGCTTGAATCAACTCGTAGAATCCTTCCATAAATTGAGAAAAAACAAGATTTCCTTCGCGAATTTCAGCTAAAACATTTTGGATTGATTGCTCCAGAGTAAATTCGTAATTTTCTCCCAGAAAAGGACTCTGCTTTGAAGAGTTCATAGATTCCATCGATTCAACAGGAGGGAAGGCACAGAGACTGGTTGAACTGACGAAGAATTGGAAGAGAAAGAAGGCAAAGTTGTTATGAACAAAGTGAGGCTAGGGTTTTGAGGGGGGTTTTGCAAATGTTGCCACGTCAAATGAAAAAGGTGGAGCCCAGTTATGACGTGGAATAATATCAAGCCGTTAAAAATTGTAAACAAAAACAACGGCTGGCATAAAAAGAGATTTATAATTTAAAAAATTGTCTTTTTATACATTTACGATAAACAAGAAATAGCAAAGAAAAAAGAAAAAAGAAAAAAAAAACGTATTTTCTTGCACCCGATTGGATGAATCTACGTAAAAGGACTAAATCAAACCAATTAAATTACGCCACGTCATCATCCATTTTAATTGTTTTTTTTAATTTAATTTCGTTTCTGATGAAGTATGAAGACCAAAGTTGAACAATTGAAAATCGTCTTCGTCTTCTTCATTTTGCTATCTCAGTTGAAATTGTTTGATTTTGGTGCGCCAAATTTCGTCCAATTTGGTGACAGATCCCTGTAAGAATCTCACAGGTGATGCCATTTCAGTAACGAAGAACTCTTCTTCCACCATTGTTGAATCCATAATTCAGCTTCTCTGAATTCGGAATCCGAGAGCTTCGTGAAGAAGATGAAGCGATTACTGAGTGTTGTTTTAGTGCTTCTGGCCATTTCTTGGTTTCCGATGATTGAGAGTTCGAAGAAGCCATCTGCGACTGCTAGAAAAGAGGATATTCCGTACATCAAATGCCAGGTCTGCGAGAAGCTTGCTGCGCAGTTGTATCACCAAGTTGAGAAGAAACAAGCTGAGATTGCTCCTAAGAAGGTAAGTTTTTATTTCTGGTGTTTCATGGATCGGTTCTTGATTGTTTAACTTAGAGGTTGTTTTCTTCTTTTGTTTCTTTTTTTTTTTTTTTCCCCATTTTTTGGGGTTTTGTATTAGATCTCGGAGTATCAAATTATCGAAATAGCTGAGAACGTTTGTAATCTGAAGAAGGCCGAAGCTGATTGGATCTTACAGATTGACATTGTTGAACAAGGTGATAAGCTGGAGGTAAGAAGAACAGGGTTACAGAGATGAGATTTTGTTGTTTCAATACAATTGATGAATTTAGCATTGAATACTCTGTGGCTTGGTTATTTCAATTATCACTGTTTGGGTTAGGTATTTTCGACTTGGAGAATGAATGGAATTGTCTCAAGAATCAAACTAAACTTTCCCTATTGAATAATGATACTCAAAATATGAATGAACAATCATCTTCTTTTAGCTCAAAATATGAGGAATATTTTCAGTTTTTTTGGATAATTTTACCTGTAAGCTCTAACCCACGAACATTCATGTCTTCTCAGCTAGTGGAGCAGAACACCGAAGGACAATGCAATTCAGAGTGCAAGACCATTGAGCGTACATGTCAAGAGGTATGATTAGGTCTTGAGTTGAGTGTGCATTAACCCTTATTGGTGCAACAAGTATAATTAAGTACTGATGCACTTTGTTCCTTCTAGTTGGAAGAGTTTTCTTTCGTTTTGGTGTGGTTTATTTCGAGTAGATCAACTATTAATGCAATTTACATAGACCAATACAAATAAATCAAGTAAAAGAATATCCAGAAGGAACTTACTGAAGCGTTGTCAAAAGTTTTGTTTTGCTAGTATTGCCTTGACCCTCCAAATTCTGGTTCGCGATGGTATAGGTTCCCCAACCCAACGAGGGTTTACCAGAAAGAGAATATGGCAAATGCTTAAATATGTTGTATTGCATTGCAGGTCATGGGATATTCTGATACTGATGTTGCTGAATACTTGTATAGCTCCAAACCAAACATTGATTCGTTGGTTAATTATCTGTGCAAGGACCTCACTAAATCATGCAGCACTAAGCCGCCTCCAGTTCCTAAGGTAGGTAGTTAACTAATCATCATGACACCTTTGGCAGATTATCCATACCTCTTTGGTTTTTCTTTAATGGTTAGGTGTGAGATAATTGTCATTGTCATTACAAAATGTTCAGTTCCGGATGCCTGATGGGACTAAATGATCCTCTAGTTATATGTTTTAGTTAAATTTGCGAGGTTTGGCCTGTCATAAATTGTGAGATCCCACATTAGAGAGGAGAATGAAACATTCCTTATAAGGGCGTGGAAACCTCTCCCTAGTAGACACGTTTTAAAACCGTGAGATTGATGGCGATACGTAATGGGTCAAAAACAGACAATATTCACTAGTAGTGGGCTTGAGCTGTTAAGACACCGGGCAGTGTGCCAACAAGGACATTGGGCCCTCAAGAGAGTGGATTGTGATCTCACATTGGTTGGAGAGGAAAATGAAGCACCCCTTATAAGGGTGGACACGTTTTAAAATCGTGTGGTGACGGCTATACATAACGGGCCAAAGCGGATAATATCTGCTAGCGGTAGGTTTGGGCTATTACATAAATAAATCCGTTGGTTAAGTTCTAAATATTGGATATTTCTAAGGATGCTTTAGATTGAAATTACTGGGGTTCATTTAATAATCATGTTGTAATTTGTATTATGTTGAAAAACAGAAAAGTAATTATAATTGTGAAACGAAACTAGGTTTCCAACCTGTAACTATTTAGTATTAAGTTCCAGTCTCCTTTAGTTGATCCCTTACATTGTCCTGTAACCCAGGATAGGACTCCAGGTGAGCCCTTTGTGGCCAAGTCATCCAAAGAAGCTGAGATGGAAAAGATGTTGAGATCAATGGAGGTAAGCAATTCGTTGTTTCAGTGGTTGTTAGCTAGTGACTACCTCAATTTTTAAGCTTTACCATGCTATTCATCATACAAACCAGGGAATGCCAGGGGCACCGAGCATGAAAATGTATTCAAGAGATGATCTTATGAACATGAAAAATTTTGGAGGTGAAGACGATGATGAAGACGAGGACGAAGACGAGGACGAAGACGATAACTTTTCCTCAAATTTGGTACTTCAAACATCTTTTATACAGCCAGAAGTTTAAAGGATTATAAATGTTCTGCAATAAACTAATGGGAAACCGTTTTGTAGGGCAAAGTTTTGAGGGAGAAAGAGAGCAAGAAGAATGATTGGAAAATGAAGATCACTAGAGGAGTTTCAAAGGCAGGAGAAGCAATAAAACAGCATGCTTACAAAGTCTCTAACAAAGCAAGGCATTGGTGGAGAGCAAAGCTCGGAGGCTTAAAAAGTTCAAAGCCCACCAAACAAGAACTTTGAAGTCTCATTAACACTACAGATAGCTTATTGTATTTTCAGTTATCTTGAAGAAATTTTTGTGGTTCTTTTCAGTTACCTTGAAGAAATTTTTTTATACCTCATCGGGACTTGACAGTATAATTTGCTTTCTCACCCATATCAGCAGATTCTAGGATGCAATGCTAAGCAGAAGAGGAAAGTATAGATTGAATTTAAAGCATCCGGATGGGCAAAAGAACACAAGCATGTCAATACGTAATCTAATTCTTCCAAAGGATGTAGCAACACTCAATACATTGATTGTGTAAAGAGACAAGCCAAAGTTGCTACTGTTGTGAATCAACGCATCTTGTAATGTTGAGTCTTTGAAATCGTGCATCGACGTCCATTGAATGAGTATTTGAGCACAATATCAATATCGCGAGGATTCTTCTTGTTTGGAGCAACATTCAAGCTCCCAGTAATAGCCTCTCCCTCGCAAATGGTGACAACATCTTCCAAGTACAGAACTGTTTGCTTCCAATGCGTAGCCCTTGATCTTGGTCCTATAAAATAAATGGTTATCAAACATACCGTTACCAAAAGCGGTTGTTTTATTCCATATTAAAAAAACGTTACCAAAAGGCCCAATTGGCTCAGTGTTACTTAGATTCAAATGAATCCCAAGGACTACTAAAACCATGTCAAGTAAAGGAATTTTAGTATCGAAATGCAGAAATTTACCAGTCGAGAATCCAGTCAGCTTGTGGCACTTGGTAAAAGATACATCAAAGTAGGCTACAAGAGCATGGATGTAATCATCACGTTCTGCAACTAGCTTGAATGGAGATGTAAAGGATGCATCCCCAGGCGACATTTTGGATATATCCATTGTCTGAGCGAGAACACCAAATCATGTTATCAAAAATGAAAATAGGTCCAAGAGCAGGCAAACTAAAAGCAAATTGTGAAATAAATATCTTTTCTAAAGTTAGTTGAACAATGGAATGTTCTAAAAGTAGATGTGATGCAAGAACAAAGAAACAAACATGTTCTACCGATGAACTCGTTAAACCAAAAAACTCTGGCAGGCATGACATATTCAAGTCTGATTAACTCAACTTTTGGTCAAATTGTTTAGTTCTCACCTTAAGTAGCAGACAGTTTGTAACAATTTGATTCTGGTCAACAGTGTCCACCAAAGGCTCCACCAAGGCTTGCTTTTTGATGCAGCTCATGTCAAACCCATATACACGATTCCAAACTATTTTTGCAAGCAGATGAACAAGAAACTACGTCAAAAACAATTTCAACATATACTATTGAACAATTCAAAGAACATTTCTAGCAACGCAAATGAAGCAGTGTAAATGGATGGGTTAAATAAAACATCTTAAAGAGATGATGAGATACACCAGCTTATGAAGTGCCACAAATAAATTAACTCACACTCAATCTTGTCTTCTTTATAATCTGCATCCTCGATGGCTGTTAAATATAGAGAAGCTTTGTCTGGTAATACGATACCATCATCAACCTGGATTACAGAAACCAAAATCGTACATGAATATCCCACATCCAGCTTACCCCCATTATCAATTATTAATCCTCGCATAAGCGAACAAACGAGTGGCACAAAAGCGTTGCAAAAATACAGAAGCAGGCGACACCATACAAGTAAAAACATTGCCTTGCACATAGTGTAGCATACAAAAACTAACGCAAGGTTAAAGAAGATGTATTTGTATGTTAGTAACTATAAAACCAGCTCCATTTAGCTTTAATACATTCTTCAAACAGATTACTTGTGCTAGAATATCAGCAAAACCATAGAACACTTACAAGCCACTTATCACGAGCATATAGGACTGTATTTAACATATTCTCGAACAATAAGAAGTATCCCATCCATTCTGAAATAATTATATCTACTCTGTCAACTGGAAGCTCAATTTCTTCGATCTTCCCTTTCAAAACGGTTATAACTGCGAAGAAGAAATGGTAATAAGTATTTGAGAGAAGACAATTCCATGAAATAACAAGAGACCCAAGAAAAATACCATTAGAAAATCCATTTGCTTCGACAATCTCTTTAGCCATATCGGCCATATGGGAGCACTCAACCTGTAAATGGACATCTCCTTAGAAACAAAAGCTAAAAGAATAAACCAAAGAAAAGGGAAAACAGAAGGCACATTGCCATCCCATAAGAATTCCCATACTTACAGCATAAACATGGGATGCTCCTGCCTTAGCGCAAAATAGGGACAAAATGCCAGTCCCTGCTCCCACATCAAGAACTACTTTATCCTTTACTAAAAACTTATTTTGATAAATTACATTTTGATATGTCTTAGTTCTAACTGAATCCTTCAACATTTCCTGCAGATATTAAACAGTCATGATAAATGCCTACAGTTTTGAGCATGTGAATCAAAACAATACAAGATCAAAATGAATTTAGCTGTGCATGCTCGAATCAATGTACGCCAAACTTACTTCGTGAATACCTGCACAAGCAAAACGAACAAATAAACAAAAGGTAATCAGCTTTCACTTCCAGCAAGATACTTGTAGATATATAACATAAAAAGTGAACCAGCAGGTCATGTTCATTCTAACCCATGAGAGACACAAAGAAAATTCGAGAAGCTAAATCTGAATCGCACGCCATTTAAACCAATCTAAACTAATTAATTACCAGAAGATAAGGCAAAGTTAAAAGTTCAATCCAATGTTCCATAACTCAGTAATGACAAAAATCTTAAGCATAAATTAGAACCAACTAGAAAGAAACCAAATGAACTATTCCCAAATAAGGAATAACGAAAGATAAGGAAACAGAGAGGAAAGGCCATTACCAAAGTGAGAGTAGGAATCGAAGTAATAATCAGCGCTGGTTTTATCATCCTTATCATTCAATGACTGGTCAAACTTACAGGCAGTGTCCTCAATGACTCTGTTGGAGTCGTCGGAGGCTTCACACATGGACTCATCGACGTTGACGCTCCCAGTGGTTTCTTCAATCGGAGCTTCATCGTCGTCTTCAAAACAAATCTTCGAACCCTGGGGCTGAGGCAAGCCGTTGAGGGTAGTTGGACTGTGACTGCCACTTTTCCGGCGACCCATAATGGATTGGCTGCGAATGAATTAGGGTTTTAGGGAGGGGTTTTAGCGCAGTGTTTTGCCGTAGAGTTGTAACTACGCGGCTGCGGGCGAGTTTTCGAAGTGCTTTTAAAGCAGCGGACTTTGAAATTCAGGTGACGAAGATATTTTCCTTTTACTACTTCCTCAAATTTCACCGTTCTTTTTTTTCTTTTTACTTATTTTTAAATAAATCTTAATTTATGAAATAATATTTTTTTTTTTTAAATATTCTATAGTTTTTTTAGTTGCGTGACTCTCCACAATGATATGATATTGTGAAGCCCAAAAGGCCTCGTACTGATGGAGAGAATATTCCTTGATTATAAACTCACGATCCTTCTCTAAATTAGCCGATGTGAAACTTTCATAATTCAACACTCATAACAAGTGTTAAAAAAAACTCAAATTCCATATTCAGTTTTTACCCGATTTTGTGGCTTCGTCCAACCGTCAAAGTTTGTCTTCGTCAATTAAACACAACCCGTTTGAAAATTCAAGTTTATTCTATCAAACACACTAGTTGGTCGGTTTGAATCAAACCAACATGAATCCTTACATGTAAGCATGCATATGTATGAATGTACGAATGAGGTGCAAAAATGGGCCGAGGCCATGATGGGCCATATAACTCAAACGGGCCCAATAACAAAGAAAACAACCAAATTTGTCTTGTCCAAACCCAATAGCTTTATGAGCGAAGTTTCAAGGTGTGTAATTAAGTCCTTTTCTTCCATTCCACCAAAATGAGACAAAGACCAATGGAAAGATTAAGAGAGAGCAATCTTGACCTTTGATCCTCTTTTTACTTACTAGATGGTCAACCAGAATCCGAACCCTAATAGACTTGACTTTATTGATATTTAAAGTCAATCCTACTGATATGTTATAGAGTCAGAACTCGTGTGCAATTATTGTTTACATCCATAGTTCCCAAGGTGTACATTAGAGGAATAAACATTTTTTAAGATACGTTGCATGGGAGGAACTGATCCTTCACGTCCAAAGAGCGAACAAACACCCCCCCAACTAGTCGTATGAGGTGGGGAGCTTGGTTCTTGAGAAGGACCAACCACAAAGTGAGACGACACCGGCTTATGCAATGCAACGAGAATTGGCCCTCTATCATTGGACAAGGAAAGAGACCCCTTCCTTTTCTTTTTCGGAGATCAAGTTTCTGGCCCGATACGTGACGTGCCCTATATGTCAACAGGACAAGATTGAGCGAGCCATACTCCCGAGGCTCTTAGAGTCGTAGCCTACACCACAAAAACCATGAGAAAGTGTCTCCATAAATTTTATTGTAGTCTACCTTCATCAATCAAGGGAAGACACTTTAGTGTGCTAGATGAAAGTGTCCCACATTGGTTAATTTAGGGAATGATCATGGATTTATAATCTAAGAATACATTCTCCATTAGTATGAACCCTTTTGGAAAGCCCAAAGTAAAGTAATGAGAGCTTATATTCAAAGTTCAAAACTTCAGGATTGAAATTGATACGACATCACAACTTTATAATAAAACTTTAATTATTTTTTCTATAAAAAAAATATAAATATTAAACATTGAATCTATATAGTATATGACGTAACATAATAACGACCAAGTCCAACTTTAAGCGTGTACATTCAACTAGAAAATCTTATGATCATTTTTAGTCACCAAATCTATTGTCCTAATCAATTGTAGGTTGAAATTACCAATCATTAAGTTGGGCCCATTGGCTTCTCATTAGTCGGTGGTCATTTTCACAGCACTTTCCCCAAATATCCCATTTTCATCTAATTTTGTCCCATTTATATAGTAATAAATAATAAATAAATAAATCACACTAAATTAATAAAAATACCATAAAATTTAATCAACCCGTTTCAATAATATCTTTAAATAAAAAAATTAACATTTAAATTTATTTTTAAAAGTTTGTGGGTAATTTTTTAACTTAAAAAAAATAATAATAAATGTGTTCTTTAAGTTATTTTAAAAGTTAAAAGGATAAGGGACAGAATTGGAATTTCAATAAAGATCTCAATATCTAACTATACAATATAGCATATATATATTGGAGCCTTAATATTTGATTTTGAAGTGTCCAGCAGCTTCCATATTGTACGGCATTCACCGACCTTCTAAAATGGATAAGGGACAGAATTGGAATTTCACATCATACGAAGCTGCCATGTAAGATTAATGGGGGTGGTTGTTTGTTGAGCTGTAAACACGTCCTGTTATTTGATGACGTGGCCATGGGAGCCACATGTGAGTGACCTGGATAGCCGTCATTGGTTGCTTCAAAAAGCCCCTTTCTTCTACCTTTAATTTATTGATTTTTTGCTGAGTTGTCAGGAAGAATTGGATAGCGACAAGACCCAGTTTGTAACAATGACCTTTAACACGTGAAAAACTATGTCGTTTCATAACAAACTTGCCTAATTTCAATGTTATTCCTTTGTGTGAACGTATATATATTTGCAATTTATATTTTGTTTGGCACATGGGTCGATATTAGCTATCAAAGTCTAAACTTTGACTTCGAAGCGTTGAATTATAATTATATTTTTCGTTACGTTTGTTGTTCTTAATAAAAAAATCATGAGGACAAAAGACTTAACAAGCACGTCAAAGTCCATACTCTAGTTATATAGGTCACTTAGAAATGCGTGTAGTTAGTGATTTCGAACAAGTGTTTTGATATGAAATAAGATTCTTAGATGGTTATAAATTTTGGGTAGATGATAATCTTGAATTATTGTACTTCATTAATGTATTTTAAGACTTTTTATTTACTTTAGGTTACATTTACATGCTTATAAAATTTACGACTCTTGAAATGACTTATATGAAAGGTTAAAGGTTTCATTTTGTAGGCTATAAAAAGTCATTTATCGTGTTTATAAAGAATACTTGGAAGATGTAGTAAAAAAATTCGTGTCTTTTTTTAGTTAATGACTAAATTTATTTGCAATTTTAAATAGGTTAGATTGCATGTTTATAATCATTCAAACAAGACATGATCAATCTTGTTTATGGAGTGATTTAATCTCAAACAAGTGTTCTTACCCCGAGACATTCGAACAACTCTCGATAATCATCTTTTTATTTTTTAAAATTAGGTCGATTTCTTTTCAAAATGTTAGCTATATTGAATTCATTAATGATTTAAGGAAAAAAAAAAAAAAAAAAAAAAGGTTGTAGCTTTCCCTGACAGTGGACACATTAAATTAGTACCAAGAATCGAGTTGACAGAATAAAATAAATAAATAAATGACACGTCAGACACAAAGTTTGGTGGTTAATTATACAAGTCGGCGAAGTGCTATTGGTTGTTAAAGTGATTAATTAATAAATAAGTAGGTTTAGTTCGCTTAATTAAAGTCAAACTGCTATTAGAGCATGTCGATAATATAAACATATTTTTACTTATTTAATATATATATATTTCTAATTTTATCCCTATTTTTCTCTCTCCCTCTCCTGAATTGACATTTGTCACCGAAATACTCCGACAGAATCATAAAATAATAATAATATATATATATATTTTATTATTAAATATGATAAATGAAACTTGCTTAATAAAAGCAAGAAAAAAGAATCACAATGGATATTTTTTTTCTTTTCTCTAAAACCATCGTAAAAAAAAAAAAAAAAAAAAATGTAAATCATTATATATATATATATATATATATATAGATTTAATTAGCTTCGTCTTCCTTCCTCAGCTTCTCCACGAAACAAAGTATTCTTTCAAGAGCAACATGCAGGGTGTGTTCGCTCATGTTAGCAAAGCAAACCCTGAACCAACCCGGTTCAGAGCAATGACATGACGAACCGGGCGAGATATTCAGTTTCACTGCTTTTAAAATACGCTTCCAAAGCTCAATTTCACCGGCCGTATTGGTTTTTTTGTCTTTCAACAACGGGCTCAAGTTCATCCAGCAAAATAAACCGGCGTTCCCGTTTAAGCACTCAATTCCAGCGGTTCGGAGTCCTTCAATTATCATCTCATATCGTTTCTTGAGCCGGTCCCGGTTCATTTTAATGTATTTTTCCGTGAATTTCCGGTTCGACAACATGGATGCTAAAAACCGCTGTGTTTGTGAAGATATTAGAGTGAAGCTAGACATCCGGCGAGCTGTCGTCACGACTTTATCGTTGTATGAATAAATCGTGCCGACTCTAAACCCTGGAAGACCGAGGTCTTTAGAGAGGCTATACACGATGTGGACACGCTCGGCGTCTTTATAGCCACGAGATGCCAAAACCTCGGCGACGCTGATAAACTCGGCCGAGGAGAAAACGGAACCGGAGTAGATTTCGTCGGAGACAAGGTGGATGTTTTTGCGTGTAACGAAATCCAAAATCTCCTCAATTGTGGACCGTTGGATCGTGGCACCAAGTGGATTTGATGGATTTGTGATCAAAACACCTCTTACTTTCAGATTCATGGCTATTGCATTATTATAAGCAGCTTCCAAAGATTTGGGAGTTATTTGAAAGTTATTCGAACTATCGCAATGAATAGGTACAATTTTCACCCCGGTTCTCCATCTCAAATCTCGATCAAATCTGAATTTAAAAAAAGAAAAATTAAATTACGGTTAGAAATCACGAATCTTTATAATGATATGATATTATCTACTTTGAGTCTTAAGCTTTTACCCAGGATAGTAAGGCGTTGGGACAAGCAACGCGTCGCCTGGATTTGCGAGAATGAATGTCAGCAGCTCATTAGCTGCGGTAGCTCCAGCAGTTAATACAACTCTATTTGGATCAAATCTAGCTCGTCCGCCTCTAATTTGCTCCATGAAACCAGCCATTGCTGTTCTAAAAGAGAGCAGCCCATGATAATCTTGAAACAAAGCGTCCTCTCTAAACCCAGAAGAATTGGCTTGAAGAACATCAGAGTTTTGCTCTAAATACTCTTCCACCAAATCAAAAGACACCTGTTTAAGCAAATCCACCGCCAACCCATTTGAGAAAACGAAACTTTATATCAAAAAACACAAAAAGATTAGATTTTTTCATATGGGTTCTTACTTGATTCTCAGCTAAGCCCATTTGAATGACGCCGGAAAGGTTGGTGGTTTCGTTATAAGG